CTACTTTGCAAAATGATGCGAGTTCTGTGGCCCCATCATGGGTTCAGTGGAGATAAATTCTAACATGCCTTATTTATTTTTAGGAGGTCTTGGTTATGAACCCCAATACAAGTCTGTTGGAAAAGGCAGCTGCAACAATGTAGTAGTCACCAGCAGTCCTATGACAGTTCAACAGCTGGGACCTGTTTCACCTCCTGCTAATCAAGTTTCAACAGCATGCAACCAGATCAGCCCTAGCTTACAGAGGCCTATGGATGATGCTTCCAGCTTGAATCCTTCTCCATCAGACACAAGGTCCTGAGTTACTTTTTTATATTTGGTACTTTAAAAAAGAAGATATTTTAATTCTTCTGTAATTTAAATGCAACCTTTCTGATAATTAAAATGGCCTAAAATGATGCTCTGTTATGCCACAGGCAATTTAATTCAATGCAATTTAACTCACTTCAGCTATAATCATACTGTTTAGATCATTCAAATCATGGGTGAAATTTGGCCACACGTTTTCTATGTTTGATGAAGCTTTAGATAAAGATTTTTATAGCCACTTAACTGTCTTTTTGTGTTAAGGACAGGAAGTGTTAAGGAAGATGAAAGCAGAAATAGTCCACATGTTAACACCTTCAGGGGTAGTGACCTATTTTAAGCTTACCATAGTGATAAGAGTGTTATGTTAGTGCCTGTCAAGTAACACTGATGTCAGACAAAATAAATTTAAGTGCCTGGCTAATGTTCCTCTTTCCTCATCAAATACCTTTGCTTTTGAATTGTTTAATTGCTTACATAATTAAGTAAATCAATTCAATTGTTCCCAGTCTGCACTGAGCCAGCACTTAACTTGACCTGTTAGACTCGTGTCCCTGAAAACGTGTCAATTTTTCTAGCTCAGGTGGGTAGTTTAATAAAAACTATTGCCTCTCCCTGTAAATATGCCTTTTTATATCCTTAAACCACAGATAAATATTTGTTAATTAATTTTTAAATGCTTAAATAATTTTTGAGATTATGGCTGTGAGTATTGTAACCAAACATGAATGAAGGGAAAACAGTTATTTAGACAACGTCCATACAAATTCATTAAGGACATCCCTGGATATTAGTTAAACACACATTCTGGTGTGTCATTTCAGAAGCTACTTATTTAGATGTGACTCGTGCAATGGTTGCCTACTGACTTGAAATGTAACTGTTCTTATTTACAAAAGGCCACAGTCATTATTCTCAAAACCGTTTACGTTTTGCTGTATCACTGTGTTACAAGCCAAGAAGCATTCTTGAAATAATTAAAATTGGTATTATGTGACTGGAAGAAAACCTTGCTTTACTCTGCTATAAGATAGTTTGTGACATTTCTCTCACTTCAGTTGTGAAGCCTGAGTCCCCTGGGACAATTTATGAAATTAATTATGCTTCCTATGTAAACGTATCAGGGAAAACCATTCAGTGCTAAGATGATGACAGATGACAAATCCAGATATGTGCCTTTGAGATGGAGCAAAACTCATGATATGGAAGTATCATTAAGTAATTCTTACTTAATAAGTTTTAGGTGAGTCTGTAAGGTTCCAAATCCATGTTATTTTTATCTGAATGTGTGGTTGGGTGTATTATGTCAGTACTCAGTTATACATTTTTGTTTTTATTTTAAAGAAACAGTTACTAAGGGTGAAATGAAGTTAAAAATGTGGCAGAATCAAGGCTCTAGTGTCCCTAGAATCTCTTTTGATGATTTATCGGTGATGTTATAAAATCAGTTTGTCACAAAGAATGTCCATTTCAGCAATTTTGCCCTCAATTCAGTATTTCATAGGGCAAAACACATTTAAAGTCAAATTTTAATTCACAGGTTGTTCAAACACTTTAAAAAAAAAATGCTTCTGTGATAAACTGTTTTTGCCTAAACTGGTTGCCCCTAAGCTGACTCCATCATCCTTCATGAGCTGAGTGCCTTCTCTGGGTTGTATCTCTCAGGCATCACGAACTGTGCTCGGGCACCTCAATCCAAACCAGATTGTTTGGTGGATTGACCCAAACCAAAACAATTTGTCTTGATTTTTAGTATGGAAGAAAGAAAAAAGTTGGCAAAACTGGAGTTTTGCTACAGATGACGTCAGATTTTGGTATATAGACTATGTGGGATAAGACCTTCCCCCATCTTTTTTGAAAGTTTCACAAAAACCTTTCTGGATTATTCAGTTTTGCTGCATGAAACCAGATGTAATACTGCCATTTACTTTGGTGCAAGTCAGAAAAGGACCTAGGAAAGAGCAAAGAGTTCTTGGCTAGTAATACCGAAGACCATGCAAAAAGATAAGAAAACATAGTTTTCACTCTTCTATGTTTATGTTTAAGATGCTGGGTTATACTTGACACTGTAGCCTCTAGACACAGAGGGTGAATATAAATTAATAGCAGGAATCTTGTAAATGTTCATAAAAGATCTGGTCCGAACTCACAGCTAGTTTAGATTACAATAAGCAGATGTGCCAATTAATACCATGTGAGAATCTAGCACAGTGGTATAGCTGGCCCTTCATTTTCATATTTATTTTCCCCTAGAAAACTACTTAGTCACAGTGTGGGCTGGGTTTTAAAGAAATTTTATTTGTTTTGGGAGCTGGAATCTTTGTTACTTTTGAATTTAGAGGCTTAAGTGAGAACTAAACTTCTTCAGATTATCTGGCTCTTACTTAATGTATACTTGAAATTCTGGACCAACTTTTTATTTTTGCAGTTTTTCTTCAGCTTCACTGTTGGCTATACCCCTTTGTGTTAATAGCTTTTTGAATGACACTGCTCTTACTTAGCATCTGATGAAAATTCTTTGCATTATGAAAATAGACTTGTTATATTGATGCATGATTTCTTTTCCCTACTTATAAAAGAGAAAAAAAAAAAATCAACCTGGAACACCCCACCCCAGTTTATATTTTCCAGATAGAAATATATACAGCCTAGCATGGAAAAATCAAACATTACTTACTTTTCTTGCTCTTTTGAAGACTGTAGGTCTGTTGTTAGGGTCACAGCATGCTAACATCGTTTAACTGCCCTATAGTGAACTGTGCTTTAACAAAGCCCATTGATAACAGACCCAACAGCCTGAATAATTTTTTTTTCAGAAGTAAATACCCCTTTAGATCTAAATCTTACATAAGATTGACCTGATAGAGCAATCTCATTTTTCTTATTTCCCTCAGTGCAAATTATAGCCAGCATCTTAATTGTACTTTTCTTCACTGTTCTGTTTTGAAAATGCCATTTAAATGCTGTTTGAGTAACATAACCTCCCTAACAGTACCCTATACTGACATTCAATCTAAACAGGATATTTCTTACTCTGGTACAGCAAATCAGCCATTACAAAACAACTGTCTTGAACAAAGGAGCATTTACCCATCTATCCCAGAGATGATCACAGCAAGGCTGGGTGATATTTGAAGCTATGTTTTTGCTCTTCATGAGCTGTCTCAGTGTGCAGATATAAGCCCTGTAAACTGCTACCTCTCTCCCTCAGCCTGTTCCAAGCTTTTCCTCTAAACAAAAGGGGCTGAGGGCGCAGCAACAGTACCCTGAGCACCAGTTCCCCTCCTCTAGTTCTTTGGCAGTGACTGGGTTATGTTCTTGCAGCGCAATCCAGCCCTTAAACCAAAGTCGCTGCAAACTGACTTTTCTGTCTTCATGTTGGTTGACTCTCAGGCACTGGAACATGCTGTAATATTAAGTAGTAGGAGGAAAAAAATCATCACTCAGGGAGTGCTTATGTGGTAGGCAGAGTAAGATAACAAAAGACACTGATTTTTTTGCTTTAACCTCCATGGCTAGAACTGAATGTGGAAAGCTATATACATGTGTCTTACCTGAATGACTTTAACTAGTGTTTTCATATATTCTTTCAACCTTGCTGGTCTAATTGAAAGATAATCCACAGATTTCAGACATGAAATGTCGATATACCAAGCAAAATCATGGACATTTGGTAAATATTGCCATATTCACTGTGAATATCTCCAGAGCCATCATTTAGGATCTGTTCTTTCTCTCTTGGGTTGACTGGTGTTGTCTGAAGTGAGATTCATATCCTCAGTTTTAGCCTACCACCACTTCTTATATCAACTAGTTTCATGTATCTCCACTGAAGCTGCAGTCACTGCCGTAGGGCTGTGGTGCAGACATACAATGCAACTATGAGCCTTAACAGATCTGTCCCATGGATCCTTGTTTCGTGAAGCAGTGTCTGTAAGAAAATCTTGTGGAACTCAGAAGCAACCGCAATATTGCTTAACCTGAGGAGACATAAAAATTTACCTTTGTAAATAAGAATACATTATTCCTTGCCTGCATGACTGTTCCTTTGAATTACTGCATGTTATTATTTCATATACTGTTTCCTTAGAGCTTTAAGAAATATTTTTCAACACCTGATATTCAAGGTACATATTAGCACGTAGTAGCTATCTTTTTTAAATCTCCTGAAGTCTTTTATAATAGGAGGAACTATTGTGTATCTTGCTTCTTGTTTTCTATGTGAGAAGCTGAGAAGCAGTTATTAACTTGCCCACCTTCAAAATGCATTGTAGATTTAGAAAAGAAACCAAATTTCCTATGTACTTGATCCACCATTGAAATTCTGTGCTTCTTCAAAAGTGAAAATAATAAACCCAGAAATTAACCCCAGATGTAAGATGCAGAGGCTTCTGTGTCTGTGAGATCTCCAGATTTATCTAGATACATACTTGGTTCTTCCTACTGTTAGAGCCCCTTAAAAATAGAAATTACTATACTGATAGCACCACTGACTGGTGGGAAATCCAAGTCTGCCAAGATGTGAACTGGAAACATAAAGACATAAATCTACTTGGCTTCTACCCAGCATTTGCAACCATGAATCAGGGACTCTGATGTCCTTGTATTTCCTTTTTATACCTTTCTGTAGAAAACAATATTGTTAAGAGCTTATGAGTTCTTTTTTTAAACTACCTGTAGGACATCTGCAGCATAAACAAGTTTCTTAATATTTCTGTGGAAAACCAATGATAACAGTAAGATTACACTTCAGTGAAAAATTTTGATTGCTGACTTGGAGGCAGATACACCATCAAATCAAATCAAAACTAAACAAACCCCTTCAACCAGTTTTCTACATCATTCATTTATTTTGTTTGTTTTGTAAAGTTAGATATTATCTGTATTTATAAACTAGAGCTATTTCTGTAGAGAATACTATTTGTGTGCATTACAATTAGCAAAGTCATTCAGGTTAAATATTTGTTCTTTATTAATCAGTTTTCTTCCCCTTTGCCAGCAAAATAAGTCAATCCAAATCAATAGGAGTTTCATACAAGGCAAGAGCATAATGGTTTGGCTTCAGAAGCCCAGACCTATTTACACCACAGCTGATGAAAAAACTTGCATTGATTTCTGCAGTGATGTATCAAGAACCTTTACAGCAAGTCTTCTTAAAAATCTTGAAGTTTTAAAGTTGGTTTCCTAAGTGACCTCACTACATATGTTTTGCCTGTCTATGCCTGCTGGTGCGTTAACTGAGAGTACTAAAATTAGTAGTACCTAAAATTACGAGAACTTTTATCACATGTAGCTTTTCTTTAATTCTATGTGTGTGTGAAGATAGAAGAACCATTTTATAGTAGTACATACACATTAAATTTGAACAGCTGAATTGTCTAACTGCTTACGTATTTTATTGTGCCTTTATTCCAGGTCACTCTTGTCATGTGAGTCTCTGGCCTCCACAATGTTAAGCTTGTCAGAAAGTCAGTCTGCTTTGAGTGTTAAGCAAGAGTGGTTGCATGGGTACAGGACACTTCCTTCTCTTCCTCCTGACCAAGGTTTACAAAGTGACAGTGAGCTGGGAGACTTACTAAATTTTTCACCTGAAACATCTGTGTCCAATAACTGCGTTTCTAACTCGTTACCGTCCTTCTTATATGGCATGGAAAATAACCATTCCCCTTGTGCTAGTTCTCACCATTCCTCAGCCCGGTCTCAAACAGCCTACTCCAAAAAGAGAGCACTGTCTCTGTCTCCTCTGTCTGACAGCATTGGGATTGACTTCAACACGATCATCCGTACATCCCCAACCTCTCTGGTGGCCTACATCAACAGCTCCAGGACATCACCAGCAAATGTCTCCTCACAGACGGAGGTCTATGGACATTTTTTGGGAGTGAGAGGAAGCTGTATACCCCAAAATTGTTCTATTCCAACTGCCCAGAAAGGCCTTCTCATGGCTACTGGCAACATCACGTTCCCAGGGTACGTTGAGAATGGGGGTGGTGAATACCAGCGGATGCAGCAGGTGGAGCAAGCTGTCCTGCCGCCGGCCACCACAAGTAACATGGTGATCCAGCAGAGCATACTGCCCACGGACAGCCAGGCAGTGCACGTTCTGAAATATGAACAGCCAGATGGCTTCCCAGGCCATACAGTCGACATGCCTCCTCCACCCCTCCTGCCGCCACCTCTTCCACAAGGGCCACCCCCACCGTACCATGCTCACCAGCGCCGGCATCCACACAGCCTCCCCAGTCACACTGACCCACCACCTGTGCCTCCGTCTGCCCCAGGCTCCCTGCTTGACGAAGACAGTGAGCTGGATGATTTCAGTGGCAAGCATGGCTGTCGCTGGGGTGACTGTGGTGTGCTGTATGACCACCAAGAGGAACTTGTGCAGCACATAGAGAAGATCCATATAGACCAAAGGAAAGGAGAGGACTTCACTTGTTTCTGGGCAGGGTGCCCACGGAGGTACAAGCCATTTAATGCCCGTTATAAACTGCTGATTCACATGAGAGTCCACTCAGGAGAGAAGCCGAACAAATGCACAGTAAGTCTGAATTCTGTCTCTCTTGCCAGTAAAAGGCTCTCTATTACTCATGAATATACAGAGAAGTTGCAATTCTGCCTTTGTTTTTCCTAGTTAATGGTGTGCTTTTTTAACTAGTTTGTGTGAATGAGTGACTTCTCCATCTTTCTACCTAGATCAAAAGGAAACATATTCTTTAATTTGATATGTTCCCACAGATAGGATTAGACAAAAAATTATTTTCTAAAGTTGTAAACGTTTACTGTAGACTTCAAAAGTTACATAGTATTTTCTGGTTCTACATATAGGATGCCTCTTTCTCTAAAATAATTATAAAGTAAAAGTCTACGTCCACTGCAGTTTGCAGACTAATAAGAGGCAGTCTAGTAGACCAAGCAGGGAAGGAAAAATGACAAATACACATCTATTATGTGAACTAACCAGATTTACTTTAGAAAATATAATGGAAGCCATAGGTCTTTGGGAGGAACTGTCTTAATATAATGGCAAGTCATCCTTTAACCAAAGACAGTGAGTTACACAAGTCGCCTTAGTGGCATCACACAGTAGTGATTGTGTGAGCATTGTATGTGTTGATAGTTCCTAAGATTTTGCAAGAGGCAATCTTCTTGTTAAGCATATCTTGCAATAGGTCCTAGTCAGTATATTGTCATGCAGTACTCGTTTCTGTACAGCCGAGTGCTGGAAGTATATTACTTCATACTGTGTTGTATATCCCAATGGACTGGTGTGATAGTTCAGCAAGTTTTGCAAGGTTTTAGTAATACAAGCTCAGGATTACTTCTAAGTTTTATTATTGTAACAGTAATAGAGATAATGCAGAAACAGATGCACAGTTACAAGCTGAACTTCATAAAATCATTTTCCCTGTTATCACTCTGTGATGACAAAATCATGTATTTGAGAAGAGGCTTGAAGAACAGCTGAGTCTACAGTACTTGATGTGCTTATTAAAGTTAAAATCAAAGCCAAGTAGAATATTTTTTTTACTTCAGCATATGTTTTGCCACATCTAAACTAGTTTCCATTTACCTGTGTAACAAAAAATTGAAGTGATAAACTATTGCTACAAGCGATACTCTAGTCGGTAGTTCCTTCTTGTTCTGGATGAGCAGTCTTCTTCGATTCTGGAAGATAATATAATAAGTTTTAATCAGATAGCACATAAAAACATGTGATGATCATGATAATCAGATCCAAACTTAAAGTCAAGCATTCTTAAAGGTCAAAAACAGAACATGCTTGCCGCTCTGTATAAAGGTAACTAGGGTGGAGTAGAAAATATTTGCATACTGATCCTGATAGATTAGTTTTGTATTGTAGCTTTTCTGTGAATCAGGCTCTTTTTTGGAGTTTCAACTGAATTTGCTACTGAAGCTGCTTGTTCAGGTTAGGTCTTGGCAATTTGATCTAACACACTTTTTCTGTGTGCTGAAAAATTACCGTTTATTTTTCATTCCTACCCATTTTTAGAAGATTGGTTCTTGTTCTAACAAATGCACTTTAATTTTAAAAAGCATAAATTTCATGGGGTCCTGCATTTTATTTCATATGGGAAGACAAAGTAGGTGACTATGCTTGGCCTTGTTTTATTACATGGATGTTTGTGAAGTTGAAGAGTACCTGCATGCAAGGGGCCTCATCAATTGACTTGTTTGAAATAAGAATTCATTAAATAGCTGTTAAAATGTATTGGGCTCTCTTACTGGTCATTAAAACATCTTTCAGGTTCTGTTCCAATTTACTGCATCTGGAATGCATTCTTCTTTTAGTGACCTGGTTTAAAGACTAAAAAAGAATTATTCATGACATGGTAATATATATATTTAGTGTCTATTCCTAAGCTGCTTTATAGTAGGTATAGCATGTTCAAATGTGTTGTATTTATTTATTAATCTATGCATTAGTTTGTACTTTGTAGGACTAAGTTAGAGAAGAAAAACTTGAATGAAAAAGTGATGTTGAAATGCAAGCAGTTAGTACGCTAGTGTTTGAGAAAATCTGTAACGTTTGCCAGCAGCTATCACACGATGGTATCTGAGGTTCCTTCCCATTTCCTCTGGATTAGAAAAAAATAGAATTCCAGGGAGCTGTGGCAACTCCACAGTAGCAATTAGCAAATGCTGACCTTTTGCTGTGTTTGTACCTGTCAGCTTATTTTCTACTCATTGTACCTTCTTTTATAGTGAGAATTTTTGTAGTTTTCAAGTTCAGCTGCAGTAAGTGGTACTTAATTAGCCTTACTGTCATTCTATGCAAACAATAAGCTTAATATATTTATTCTGGTGTAAACAGCAACAGCTTGTTGTTGGAGAAAAATTTCAGGCTCTCTCTTTACAGTTTCATTCAGGTGCGGTAGGAATGCTTCCCCTTTTGAAATGGAATTAAATCTTTTTGCTTTCTGTAAGTTCTGAGCTGTGCTTCAGCCCAATGCCGTTAGAGTTTTAAAGTATGAGATAGTAACACATAGACTGTACTTTTTATCACAGCTGTTTGATATGATTTAAATCAATAAAATTGCTAGTATTCCTGTCAGATTTGAAGCAACATCCATTTAACGTCTGCTAAATATCTGAAATTATCCCACAACACATCAATCTACTAAGCACATAAAACAGAAGGTATGGTTAAAAAAAAAAGCAAACCATAAAACACTTGTATAATGCTTTTATGAGACACAAATAAATATTTTTGGGTGAGTATGAGCGTTTAGGTAGATGTGTGTGTGCTATATGAAGAACATGTACTTAGAAGATGGTGTTCAAGATCAAATTTTGATTAAAACCAGAGGTGCGTTCCGTAAAAATGATTGTAATTTTTTTTTTCCATCTTCAGGTTTCAGCAGTGTGCCTTCATATGGTGTGTTATGTATGACATGCACTATATATTTTATGTACAATGCATGCCACTGTTTTTTGGTGGTAAGGAAAGACCATATCAAATCCTGTATTGCACTGAAGTCTTGACAAAACAGAAACTATAATTTTTTAAAAAATTTGTTTTTGCTTACATGCTTGCAGAGGAATTTTTCACTATGCTAAAGTGGCAGTTGAGCACCCAGTCTGAAACAATGTTAGAAGAACAGTAATATAATTGTAGAGTCAAGTTTCTGAAAGTTAAAAACCACCAAGTTTATAGTTGCCTGTTGCCCATTTTTTCACTAATTTGGTAAACTAACTGAAACAGAAATGCCACGGAAGAGGCAGAGATATATGAGTAATTAGACTATATCGTGGTGTATAAACATGGAAAAGCTTATTTGCAGCCACAAAGCTAAGATTTCCTAAGTCTCTTAAGTTTGTGCAATCTTAGTAACCTGCTCGTTTTGGTTATGGTGTTTTAGCTGTGTAAAGGGAAACCAAGTTATGAATTATGGGTGTGACTGCACAAACAGCTCAAACTAATGTGGTCACATCAGATGGCATCTCGCCCAAGCTGATAAATCTTACCTCTCAGCAATGGTACTAATGCTCTTTTAATATTATTCTTTCAGTGTGAAATACACAATGTGTCCATAGTTCAAAATTTAATTATATGTGCTTTTCCTGTGGCTGCTTAAGATGCACAACTTCCACTTGAGTTCACTGAGCACCTGAAAGCTTAAGGTATGCAAAATACTGACCTTTAATATCAGAGCATCTCTTTATGCATTCCGAAGTGCAAAGCAAACTCCTTTGTACATGCAGATGTAGGACTGGTAACAGTGAACATGATAGCTGGAGAACAATATTTTATGTTTCAGAATGAAACCTCTAATTTTATTATTGTCCTTCTTACTAATAATTTGATTTTCCTGGTAAGCATTTGAACTAGCTTTTCTTGCCTTTTGACTTAAGTATTTGGAAAATTTAAGACAGAATTTTCATGAACTTTTTTAAACAGGCATCTTTCTAGTTTTGCTGTAATCCAGCACATGACTGTTAAGTATCCAAGAATAACAATGAACATTCCTAATTGCACAAACTCTAATGTTTATGTGGAAAGGTTTCTAATTTATTACCTCTTTGTGCTTGTGGATAGGCACAAAGATTATATTTTATTTATTTTCTTTTCCCTGTAGCATGATTTTAATGGAACATTTTTTACATTTTTTTCATTGCGGTACCAAACAATAAATAAATGGTAAACTAAAAAAACTGAAGCACTGTTAAAAATTTCATCTACTTGAAATGTGTAATCTCAAATCAAACTTTGTATCTGCCAGAATTTCAACTGCAGAAAATTTAGAGGTTGTTTTTGCTCTTTTGTTTTGTCTTGATGGGGTTTTTTGTTTATTGGTTTCTTTTAGTGGGAGGGTTTTAAACTAGAAAATTATTTTAATTGAAAGCTGAGGGTGGTGGTTTTGGAGCAAGTCTGTGTGAAGTGTTTGGAAATTAGATTACTCTCCAAGACATAAAATCTTTTTAGACAACTTCTGTGCTTTTGTGAAAATTTTACTTTGCATTTTCAGCATCTCTGTTTACTTGATGGCTGAACCTGTGTCAGGAACAGAGTAAATTATGAAGCTTTCCATTTAGAAATGACTAATAATATCTGATTGGAAAACAGAACGTGCAAGTTATGATACAGTCACAACAGAAAAGACAGAAACCATTCTCAGAAAACATGATTCTGTTTTAAAGAAAGAGAAGTAGGGAGAACTGGTTAATAGATTATACTGTGCATTGCAATGTTACTTCTTCAGAAAAGAAATACAGTGTTAAGCAAAGGTAAATACACTGTCAGCTTTTATTCCGGTGATTGACACTGATTTTCTAAGGATTAGAGGTTTAATTAATGCTTCTGGCTCTCTTTGGAGAACTTGCCAGTTATCTAAGGTTGATGTTTTATCTGTGAACATAGGCTTTAAAAACAAATGTTGAGAACTAAGCATCATAGAACAATCATTGGATTATTTGTGCAGAGTGATTAAGAAATGGAAAAACGCCACGTACGTTTTTGTGCGCATATGATTGCACTAGTTAAACGTGTTGCAAACTAAATGCAAATATATTCTGAAG